TTAACGGCGCCGTTACTGCCATTCTGGCATTTGGTTCTCGGAAAATAAAAACACAGATTTATGATAAAAGGTATGAATCGTTGGTGGCAGTGCGCTGCGCGCAGTGAGGTAAGGGTTTGTTTCAATGGCGTTTCATGGTCAGTGTTCGCCGTTTACTTGTTATCCGATTGTTGTTTAGCAAATAGCAATATAAATGGACTCCAATGTTTTGGGCCCATTGACATGGCCCAATGTATTCAACTCATCTAGCTTTGTTTCTCGTCATGCTCAGGCCAATTATTTTACCCTTCAAATTGAAATTCATAGCTCTCATAACCATCTATTTTGACTTTATTGACACCTCAAAAGCATCACTTTCCTACTTCTTATTTTGGAACTCTGTGAATTACGAAGAAGATGCCGACTCCATAGTTAACGTGTTTATCAAACTAATGGCTAAACACCAACTTCACAACACGGAGCTAAGAACACGTGCATTAAAGAAGGTTCCAATAATCATTATAGTAATGAAATACTTGGTATCCACGATTATGCATATTAAGAAAATATATATAGTGGTATAGAAAGTACAAAATGAAGATGCTAAAAGCAGCCCTCGTTTAGATTTTAGTATTTATTTTCTCTAAGAACTGTTTTTTCATCTCTTTAAAATAAACTAAATATTGAAAATACATAGGATTTGATTCAAAAAATAACAAACATTTTTTAAAATTATAAACTTATTTATGTCACAAATCAAATTACTTAAAAACCAAAAAAATTAGTTATTTCTTTAAATTCTTGTCACACTTTAGCTCTCTTCTTATTTCACTAAAGATTCAAAATTTCTTTACATAAAATATAGATAACATTTACAAAAATTCTCATAGGTAACATTGACTAAATATACATATACTCTAATTTAATGACGTTTTATAAGTACATAGAATCATTTTCATTTTTTTTTATGATCGATTACACACAATTTAATAGAGAAAATACCATATAAATGAGTGAGAAATGAGGGGAAAATGAAAAAAGAAAAAGAAAAAATAGTAGCAAAAAATTACTTAAATGAGTAAGAAGAAAAACATTCAAATGAAAAAAAATGCTATTCAAAATATATGTCAATTTATTTATTAATATTAAAAAGTAATAGCTGGATATAGAAAAAAATATTTATTATTATAAATATTAAGAAAAGTGTAGAAGATATTTAATATTATAAATATATTTTAAATATAATATAACATTAAAATAAAAATAAAAATTTATTTTTTATAGTTCTAGTAAATTTATAATCCATTTCTTATTTTTTTTATCAGCTACACTACTTTGATTATAAAATAAAATATGTATCGGAATATTCAAAGGATTATAGGTCGCAGGGTTGACCCCTTCTTCGTCAGCATGCATCCGTTAAGTGACGTCGAAAGTTACTAACTACAATTATTTTAGCACGAGCAAAAATAATATAATAAGGATTTGATGCAATATATTTTTATTAAATTTATAAACTAATACATTAATATTATTATACATTATATTTTTAATATTTTTATTTATTATTTTCTATTTAATACATATTAAGAAAATATAGTATTATTTTAAATAATACATTATAAAAATGAAAAACATTTGTATTCAAATAATATAATATTTAATATTATTAATGTATTATTTTTATATATAATTTATTTTTCAATAAAAACTAATTTATATAAACTTTTATAATCCATCTTTAAATTCACATAAAAAAGTATAATTTTAATTTTTAAAATTAAGTTTAAAAATAATTAAATTTATTAAAAAATTTATTTTATTTAATTATAAAAAATATTAAATATATTATAATTATAACAACGAACATTCAGCCTTATAAGGCGCGGTATGTGTCCGCGTTAAAAGGCGGCGTTTGCATGTTTAAATGCCAATTTGAGTGAGTTTGAAGGAAAAAAAAAATTATTATTTTTAATTAATTTATTTGAAGTTCCAGAAACGTTCTTCCAATCAGGTATTATAAAAACTTATAAATAACTATTACTGAAGTCGTTTAATAGAAAAGAGAACAAAAAATGAAATAATTTAACAAAATTAAAAAGAAAGAGATAAAATGTGTTTAATAAAAATCGACATTGTAAAAATATTTAAATTAAAAATTTGTGTGTTCCTCAAGCATAAGGCCCCACTTCACTTACTCTTGCTCTTATCCAAATCCAAGGGAAGAAAATTTCATTACGTTCCGTGGCCAAACGGTTAAAAAGAAAAGAAGGAAGGTGGATTTATTTTTCGATTCAATAAGGTAAAGTTTTTGTCTATATAAACATTCATGACAACTAAGTGAAATAGTAGGAAAGTGGAGTGTCAGAATTAGAGAGAGAGAATGAGTGACGATAAGAAAGGCAGTGGTGGGAATGGGTCGGGCCAAGGCCCACCCCCACCGGTACAAAGCCCGCACCCGGCACCATCGTTCCGTAACCTTCCACCAAAACGATCCCAAATCAGGAATGGCATGCTAATCGAAATCATAACGGGAAAGAGTTGAACAATCTGTTTCTACATTTATTATTATGCTTTTATTTTAATCTCACGTGTATATATTCCTCTTTGTAATAAAATCTGTGCTCTTTCTGCGTTTCTGCAATTGCCTCATTTCTATTCTTTTTCGTTTTCCTTTTCCTTATAATATTATTGTTAATCTGCTATTCGTTTCCTTCATATGAGCCTTCTCTTCTCTTTCGTTTTTCCATGATTTCGGCCATTTCTGAAAATTTCGCCGTGGATCCACAATTCTACGGTATGCAGTGGGTGTTTGAATTTACGCGTCATTAGTGAGAGATTTATGCTTATTTTTATGTCACGAATCTAATTTTTTTTTATCTTAGATCTGTCTGTTATTATACAATTTTAGCTTGTTTTTAGCGATAAATTATAATGAATTGTCTGTTTTAATTAAATAATGGGTAGAGGAAATTGTTATGAACTGAAATAAGCAAATTTCAGTCAACGTTTGATTGGTTTGGATGACTGAAATATTATAATTTTTCATGGGCATTGCTTAAAAACATTTGAGAAATGTTTTTTTGCATAAATTTGCTTACAAAAAGCAGAAGAAAGGTGAAGATAAGTATTGTGATGAAAAAAATAAATTATAACCCAAAGCATTTCAAATGTGAGAAAAACATGATACTCATCTTTAGAGTTATGATCTTCGCAATGCGGACTCGATACACTTGCCACGAACCCTAAACCTTAGATGGCGTTACAAATGATTAAGATATTATATACGCTTTTTTCTTCCAGTTAATTTTTGCTGCATAAATTCGTGGAGTCACTGTTGTTTGTGATTCACTGTATCGTGAGTTTACTAATGTTTTTTCTTTGGGGATGTTTTTATACATTGAATTAAAATATATTTTAAAATGTTTTACTTTTTTAAACATTACATGTTATTTTCTATTGTTATGCTTTAAATCAAAATATTTTATGTTAAAATATATAATTTATAATCCTGAAACTATTTTCCAAGTTAAATTTTTAATTTTGTTTAAATTTAAAGATATTAATAGAATATAAAAGATATTTGTTTTTTTAACCCTTAGCCGCCGGCAGGGAACCCTGAGATTCTGAGAAGTTATGATGAGTGTTCGTGGATTCGTGTTTTAATATTTTTTATGTATGTGAACTGAGATGATTCCGTATCAAATGTTAATTGCACCGCAGCCCCACTTGCGTTATGGCACGTTTGTATAAAAGAAATGCTAACAATGCAGTAAAATCGTATAATTTTTATAATAAAAAAATACAGAAAGATAGAAAAAGAAAAGAAAGAAGAAAGTGTTAAAATGAATTATGTAATAACTAAATAAATTAATAATATTATTATAAATATTATTTTTAAAATATTATGACTCATGAACTGAATTTTCATAAAATAAAAATTTTCCTCTTAAAATAAAATTGATCACCATCATAATTATTATTATTGACATAATTATTACTATTATTATTATTTTCTTTTGTCAACACACGAGATTCAAAACGTTCGAAATGTGCTCAATGTATTTGCAGTGAGAATAAACTTAGATAATACGATTTTGGTAATATTTGATTTTAAATTATTATTTTAAAAATTTTCAATTTAAAACATATTTGCATAGTATTTTCTAATTTTTCGCTAAATAAATTAATTTTACATTATTATTTTTTTACGTTAATTTGTTGAAGGTTAATTTTATTACTATGTAAAACAAAACAAATAATAACTTCATTTTGGGGACAGAAGCTGATTTCAATTGCAGTAAAATGAAGTCAAACAAACCGGTTAACTGGAGTTGATTTTGTGCCTTCAAACAATGTATTAAAATTAAACTCTAATTACAATTATTAGAATCTTATCTATATTATATATAAATCTACTCAACTCTGTTACCGTGTCTTAGACTGTAGCAGTTACAGTGGACAGCGGTTTTAAAAAAATATTATGAAACCAAATTATAATATTTAAAATAAAAAATAAATCATGGTAAATAAAAAAAATAACAAGTTTAAAATAACAAGAAATGATATAGAAAAATAAAAAATATACAAATAATAATAAAAATATATTTAAAAATCAAATAACAGAATAATATTATAATTTTTCATAAAAAAGAAAACCAATAAAGAATATTTGGGTTGTCATCTGCTAAAGAATGCAGAAAGAAAAACAGGAAAAGGGATATGCGTTGTTTGATTTGGAGAAGCAAACATGTGCCTAATGTAAAATGAAAAGTTGAAAAAAAATTAATTCAAAATATAAAAAGTAAAAAGATGAGATGAGAATGAAAATTTTAACATAAAAATTCACACAAAATTATTCCAGAGATCTGGGGTTTAAGAAAAGAAATAAGTAAAAAACAAAATTTAAAAGTAATTAGTATTTAAGTATTTTTTAAAATTAAAAATATGCTAAAAGATGGTAAAGTGATCCTTAAAAGAAATAAGAGTGCCATAAGAAATGTCTCCACTTTCAAGTTCAACAACAAAGACTGAATTTTATTATGGAGGAATAGATATTCTAACACACTAAAATTTAATGAACATTATGTTTAAACGCAAACTATACATCCCAGCCTTTCTGTACATCTTATTTTGTTCTCTGGAAGGTCAAGAGATTTTACAGGTGGTCGTTATACATTCCTTATCAACGGGCAATGGCGGCAATATAACAAAGCATAAATTAGAAGCCAAGAAATCTCCAACTCAAGTGTACAGTCTCAGGCGAGTTGTAATTTGCTCCCTGCACATAGGGCATGAAGATAATGTCACGCCACACTCCTTGCAAGTCTATATAGAAAGCAAAGTGCAAAGAAATAAGATACGCATTCTTACATATAAGTTACATATCCAATAGCTCCTCTTGAAGCTATGGGGTAAAATATAACGCTTTTTCTTCCATTTTGTTGGTTTGTAATGCCAAAGTTTTAGTTGTTCATATTTTTTCCCTAAAAAATCACAAAACCTCTCAATTTTAAATTGTTGCCTAATTTTGACTTCAAGGCTTCAAGCAAGGAAAGTCTATCTTTTTCGTTTTTCTTTCAAACTTCCATCACTAGCAAAAAGGCAAAAATTCCTCAAACATGAAAATTATCGTTTTTACATGTAACATAGCATCAAACAAGAGTTATGCTTTGAAACAAGAGTTAAACCAAAGCATAAAGTAAAAGATTTATGATTATATTTCACATAATTAGTTATGACCCATAGGTCACATAAACATAAGCATTGAACAATAATAATAAGTTCATTAAACAAACTTACTGTATGACCACATCCAAAAGCCATGTCCTTCGGGTTGGTTAGGCAAATAGGGCATGCCTAGAACAAAAGAAAGACATTTTTGTCATAACCATAATTTGATCTTAAAATGAAGCTAAGACAGGAGAAAGACACCAGAGTGGGGTACAGGAGTAACATACTGATTCTATTTCTGCTGGAGCTGTTGGCTCAACTGATTCAAAATTTGTCACATGTGGAACTGCCTGGACTGCATTGTCATGATCTATTACTTCCTTGGGTGGAGGAAGAGGCCTTTTATGCTGATAACTTCTCGATTTTTCACTGCATCAGAATAATTTGACAGTCAGTTATCCTTGAATATAATTTAGAATTATCATACCTGTGTTTCATCACTTACTCAGCAACTTGTAGATTTTGGGTTATCCGGTACTGAATTGGAATTTCCATAAGGGCAGAAAGTGCAAATGCTGCTTCTTTCTTTGATACCTCTTTGTTCTCAGACATGATCTTTGTAAAATTCACAAACTGAAGGGGCAAGAAGAAACACAAAGTAGCCAACATATCAATATTATATTAATAATACTTAAAAACCTCAAAATATCATAAATGGTTCAGAATTAAAGGTGGTATTCTAAGATATGGAAACAAAAGGTTTTCCAGCCTTTTTCCTAAGATTAAGCAGTCGTTTTTCAAACTGATTACCACCAATTCACATACCAATGCTATGTTTGATTCTCACTGGCCAATTCCTAGAGAAAATCTGAATTTTAAACACTTCAAAAGGTTGAGGTCCACCAAGTCATGCACATTGGCTTTGTTATAGGATTTTGTTAACATAGACTCAGGTTTGGGTTGAATTCTGTATATGGTAAATTGGAAATAATATCCAACATTTACAATAATTTAAAATTATAAATGTGCATTTATTTGACTTAGATTATTGGCACAGATAGGAATATAAGTATCATATATAACAATTATTAAGGTTTCGGAGTCTAGTTAATATGTATCTCCTTTACCTTCGAATCCTAAAATTTAAACAACAGTAGACACTAGTAACAAACTCATGAAAATAAACACATACTTGATCATACATCAGTCAAGTACCTGAAAGTTGTCAAATAAGCGCTGAGTAATGTTATCATCGAAGTGCTGCATTTCATCCCATGGTCCATCACCAACTCCAACCAAAATAATTGAGAGAGGATAGTGACTGACGACCAAAATAGCTCCACATTACAAATAAATACCAAGAACAATAGCAAAAGACTACAAAAGAAATTGTTTTACCTTGCTGCAATGATAGAATTAACAGTTGCTTGTTCCTGTGGACTAAACTTTCCATGTGGTGTATCTGAATTTCTAGTAACCTACAATAAAAGATATTCCAGAAACACAATAAAATTAATAAAAGATAACTAAATCATGTCAAGAAAAGAAAAAAATGGAATAAAAAAATCGATAAAACCTGTCCATCAGCAATAATGACAAGCACATGATATTGACGATTGCTTTTTTGCACAATGTCAATTGCTGCATCAATTACAGGGGCAAATGATGTTGGACCTGTAGATAGGGAGGTATTGGTCATAATTAAATCTTCATGTCATTGCATGGATACCTAAGCCATCTCTCTCCTTGGATGTTTTTCCCTTTCGCAACTAAGGGGAGGTTTAGAAGAATTTAGAAAATAATTTATATCTCCCATATGTTCTTTTTAATCTATTTTAATAAGTTTCTCGGTGGAACTTATCAAAATGATCTTTTTTAAACTTATTTCAATCAATTTTCGATATAACTAATCAAAATAAGCTCTTTCGAACTTATTCCAATAAGATTATGATTAAATTTATCTCGGAAATTTTCATGTAATAATAAGAGTTTATTGAATAAGTGCTTAATTAAACTACTTGATCAAATACACCCTAAAGGAAGAATCTGTTAAGCATTTGGCTCTAAATTTTTTCATTCTCCACTAAATTGTTTTTCTAGGAGTGAGATACTTAGAAATCGGATTCTTGAAAAAAAATTTATAAAATATGTTTGACTATTATTTAACCTTCTTAGGAATAATATGTTTACAGTCAATGACCATGAAAGTTTAGTAACTTTATAGTTAATTAACGTGGGAAATTTCATTTCCACTTATTTACAAAATAACATTCTAAAAAAACTCTTATAATATAACTATTTTTACTTCTTTTATCAAATACGAGAAGCTTAAATGTCAAACATTTCACGTACTAAACGCCACATTAGGGAAAAAGGGAATATGATGCAGGAGGATCCTTAAAAATGAGATAAAACAACAACAAAAATGGAAAACAAAGTGTATACAACAACTTAAAGGACAATTCTAAGTACACAATTGTGCACAACTTATTTTAGAGAAACAATCACTAAGTTTTTAAAAGCTCTCTTAAGGAGTTGCAAAAACAACCTTTTTAACTTTTTTGACTCCAAACAAGCTAATCCAAACAATTGAGTCCCTATGGGATGACAAGGAAACTCAATAAAACCTGTGTGAGCTGAACCCTAACCGAAGGCCAAGTGCATACCGTAATGGAGCGTCTTTTCTACTGCCTATACCTCCATAAGAAATCAGGTACCTCCATATAGGGATGCACTTGGAGCCACTTATTCATTTAAGTAATCCATTTAGTATGGGTTTGGACACTTGTAGCATTGATTGGTGTGAGAAATGAAGGCCATAACCCATAGGTCCATTATGGGAAGGTAGTGGGATTGACCTATTGGGCTAGACTCCCTTTACATTTATTTACATATCTTTTAGTTGCTGAACAACTAGCTCCATTGAAAGATGCAGCCCTAGACTTTCACTAGTTTTGCAGGTGATTGGATTAGCACAGCAATTCCTTGCCTCAATCGTCATGTTTTCAATAACTAGGCATTTATCTGTGTTCTAATTTCATCTAGACATCTACAATTGAGGATTGCAATCATCACATACAAGTTTTTCTAGAAAAGCACTGCAGTAGGGTAATAGTCCCAAAGTTGTAAAAATATAAACTAGTAAAATCTAGCCAGAAAGGATGATGATATTAAACCTGACAATCTTAAGTGTGGCACAATCTCTCGATAGCGTGCAAGTACTTCCTCAAAACCATGACAACAACGATGATCAGGATAAAAGCTGAACACATTCTGATCATGTGTAGACGCTACAGAAGAATATTGGCTGAAATCAATAGAAGAGAAAACATATAACATTTCTTTGAAAAGTAAATTAGAAACAGCTGCTTACCATCACCAAATCCAAAACATGGTATCAGATTGTCTTCATCAAATGAAGAGAGAGTACGGCCAATGATAGATATTGCTTGCTCATATGGATTCGGAGTGTTTCCAATATAATGTAGGCTTTTGTGGTTGAAGGAGTGCTTACCTACAATCATCAAGGTGTTACTTTTATGCGTTCTCCATACTTACATTTACAATTTTACATACAATATTAATTTTATAATAAAATGAAATAACCTGTCCACTCATTGCTTTTGGTGAAATCAATGCCAATTATTAAATTTGAAGATTCCAGACCAGCTTCTCTCAAAGCAGAAACAACCTGAAATATAACATGCTAAAGCTAAGTATTTTTAAAACATCTGCACAGAACATTGAGTCCAATTCAGCAAGGGGCGGTATGTCATTAGTGCCATATGGAACATATGGAACATTGGTCCCCATAAACAATTTTCAAAACTAATATATTCCATTTTATTTTATTTTGTTTTGTTTTCTTAAACACCCCCTCCCGCCTCATATAATTGCTTTCAACCTATCTAGCTGAACCACCGAGTTCACCAACAGTTAGTTAATTAGTTTTCTTTTTATCAAATTGACCTAAAAGCAATATGATATGCTATTATAACTGTGTGCAGGCCACGCTAATTTATTCAAAATGGAACCATGTTCTTTCATACTTCTTCTCAAACTAAAGCAGGTAACAATAAATCTATATTTTTGGTTGCAACATGTTCAATGCCTATTCGTATGTTCATAAACAGATAATCTAGACTTCACTTAAAAAATCCTCAAGAAATTTCCTAATACACAGAGGAGTTCAACTGACCAACAAACAACTTATACAAACAGTAATGTAATTATATAATCAAATAAACTTCAATTATTCTATACGCCTATTTATGGATTCCTCTTCTAGTATACTAGAAATATTAATAATGACCATTCTCCTTAAATGAATAAGCAAAAATAGCAGCGGAAACCTGATCCAGTGAACTGAAATTGTCAGCTATATATGTGGGTCGCTGCTTATGTTGATATCTGGGATTCCGTGAACTCCCAGCGTATGAAGAGGATTGATGATCTTGATGGCTAGTATTCACTGAACTCCCAGCATATGAAGAGGGCTGATCTTGATAGCTAGCATTCCCCGAACTACCATCATGGGAAGGGGGTTGCTGGAAGAAATCATCATGAGAATCATGTGTTGACCCCCCATTTCCCATAACTAAAACCCTCCTTTCCCCTGAATCAAAATTAGAAGTAAATAAATAAAAATGTAAATTTGGAGATAAAAATAGATAAGATTATAGTTAAAACGAATTAAATGAGAACCACGGCAGAAGAGGTGAAACAGTCACTCTAAACAGTAGAATTTCACAGCTCAATCCTATCAAGAGAGAAAAGAAGAAACAAATATTTTGCGAAAACCACTACGGTTCTAGTATCTTTAGCCATCATACTGTAGTTTATGAAAAGTGTAAACGGGTTTCTGAAGAACCATGAAACACATAACTTGTAAATTAATTCGTTTCAGAAACGAAATTGTAAGCAAAATTCATAGGGGAAAAGCACAAAAGTGTCCCAACAAAATTTTAGTTTATTTAAAAACCATAACAGGATTGAGAATTCTGCAATCATATCGCAAGTCAAAACCGTAACGCCGAACTTACTTTGCACGAATCAAGGATTATATATATATATATATATATATATATATAGAGAGAGAGAGAGAGAGAGAGAGAGAGAGAGAAGTGACCAGATAGGAAGCGAAACTGATTTCGAAGTGAATGAAGAGAGCTTCGCCTTCTTCTTCTGTCTTCTTTCTTCTTCTTCCTGATAATGAATATGGCTGAGACAACAGCAAGACCACGATGCGCATTTTCTCAGACAAAGTTGTTGTTAACAAATTTTCTAAAATATAATATTAAATAAATTTGTAACGGATATCTTAAAATATCTGTTTATTTTTTTATTTTCAATTTTTCTTAATTTTCTATCAGAATATTTATTTAGTTTTAATTTAAGCAAATTTTCTTGAACCAACAATAATAACGATTTATTTATTATGATTAATATTGTAGATTATTATTTTATATGTTATTTATGAAAATAGAGTTTTGAAAAATGAGTTTAAAATATTAAATTGTCTACTTTGAAACAAGACTTATATTTAAGGGAATTGAGCGAAAAATAGTTATAAGATTTTAATTAGAAAAGGAATAAAATTTCCGACAAAGCATAGTTTAACCTTTTGTTTTTTCGTATTGGACTGACTTGGGGGCCTTTTTGATGCGTGCACTCGAACGAACTCTTTTCTTTTGTCAAATCGCTAAACAATGATTGAGTCTTCGCCAAAGGTGCATTATCCATTTCATGTTAATCATTGAATAAGAGCTTTTATCAGTTTTACGTCTAAAATTTAGAATAAAATATTTTCTCAAACCAAACAAATGCCTAAATTTTTCATTACAAAATAATTATATAATTTTTTAATAGATAATTTCTATGATATTTTATAGATAAAAAATATTCTATCTCCTCTTATATATAAAATAATAATCATTATTAATTTTATATTAATAAAAAGTGATATTAATAATTTATTTAAAAAATATAAATAATTTTTAAATATTAAAATAAATTACAACTATAAATTTATGATCTATGTTTTGAGTATTGCCACGTAATTGGGAGTTCATGCCTAAACAATCTGTTTTGCACCATATAGCATTTCTAGAACAATGATAGATGCTGACAACGGCTGTCATTTTTCTGATCCGCGAGACAAACTATGCATTGCCACTTTAGCCTCTCTGACTAGTTAATTAGTAATTAATTGGTTATAACATTTTCTCAGAAAAAAAGGTCGTTTGTTTCGTGGAGTGGACTCGGTCAAAATTAACCATTTCATTGCATTTTTAGTATCCCCTAGCCTGTCCCTAACGACCTTTCTTAATGCACTTTTCTTACACTTTATCACATGACCTTAAGTACCACGTTATTTACTTTGTGGTCTGAACCTCGTTATTTTGATGTCTGTTTCTGCTTGATTAACACGAACACGATCAAGTTACTAAGAAAAAACCATAGAGAATGTGCAACGGAAGGGAGAACGGAGAAGGGGTAATAGCTGTGGCAGTGGATAAGGAAAGAGGAAGCCAATATGCTCTTAAATGGGCAGTTGATAATCTTTATCCCAGAAGCAAGCTTATAAAACTAGTCCATGTTGTTCAAAGGTCACCTTTACCCCCATCAAACTCAGGTTCGATCCTTTTACCACCTAATGTGATACATAATGTTTGACGAGTAACATTTTAATTATTTCACGTTGATCAAGGATCAAATAGTAATATTATATTTTTTAGGAAGCCAAACTTCAAACACAGACTATCAAAATGTTTCTTTCAACAACTTTGGCAGATATTGTTTAGTTATCATAGAAATGCTCAAACTACACAAGTTTTATAAAATTTTTAGAAATTGTTTCAAAAGGAATGGTGGTCCACATTTGACTCCGTCTTTTTATCTCTTGTTTTGACTCTGTGAGATATATCTATGTAGAACTATATGATGTGCATCTATATATATATCTTACGCATAAATATAGAGGTGAAAAATAAGGCATGCATATGCTTCGCTTTATTCGCAACTATGTAAGTTCTCGTTTGGTGAATGATGAATACACAATAAGAAAAGTTACATCGATATTACAACATGAAGTAGGCATTATAAGTCCATTGTCCTCAGTTTTGGGTACCCATTATCTAGCTGTTTGTTATTATTTATTTTCGAAAAATGCTAGTCTCAAATCACTTTCTTTAATTCATGGGCTGAATAACATATGTTAAATCGCCCTACACTAAGAACAGACTCTTTTCCAATGAGGGTATAAAGGTGAGTGTAGAAATAAAAAATCGTGAAATAATAATATTGGACATGTTTATCGTTGGAAGACACGTACTCAATTTCTCTGCCATGTGTCGCAGGAAACAGTGAAATTGCGACCCAACAAGAATCAGATGGTCGGGGTATGGAAGTATTGCTTCCATATCGTTGCTTTTGCACCCGTAGACAGGTGAGTGAGTGACTTTACTCAAGTCTATAGTAGTCTCCAATCTCCATGCAAGCATGTTTCTTTCTTCTTTTTCTTTTCTTTTTTTGTTTAGTAAAGGGAAAAAAATGACATAATAAGTATAAATTAATTATTCAATCTTTTCGGTTTTTATAGTAGTAGTATAATGTCTATTTGTTTTCTTCAGGTGCAATTTGAGTGTGTCATACTTCACGATCTCGATGTGGCAAAAGCACTCATTGATTACGTTTCCTTAGGTGGAGTTGATAAATTGATACTTGGCACATTCCCAAGGAATGGCTTTTCCCGGTATTATTTGGCTAGAGTGAAACGATTTGAACACATCTATGCTTTTATGCACACTTGCATTATTAGTGTATCTGACACCCCAACTTTTCTTCAATCTTAATTTTCAAGGATATTCAAGAATTCGGATATTTCAAGCAGTGTACTGAAATGGGCATCAAATTATTGTAATGTTTATATTATAAACAAGGGGAAAGTCAGTGCTATGAGACCTGCCTCTCGTTCAGCACAAGTCAACCCTGCAGTTGAAAGAACTCAGCCTACCTTCGTTCAAAACGTGAACCATCATACCGATCCTGACATGTATGTATAATATTCCTAGCTATAAATTAAAATTTATAAAGGAGGATATGCACAATAGAATATATATTAGGTACAATAAATACATAATTAACGATGTATTAATTAAGACCAAATACGATCACAATCTTAAAATAAGTATGTAAAGGACTATGATACAGAACCTTTTGTCCACATGTCCAATTGACAAAAATCAAATAATAGATAAAACTTGACTTGCTTAAACGAGAATGCATTTTTATCTTGTCACAGATTATATGAAGAGCTCTCAGTAGTAGAGAATGATAACTCACTTATGGGCTCTGGAAGGTTAAGCACAGACAGCAATTACTTCTCATTTTATGAACATTTGGAATCTGAACTGGGTGGATCCTCATCAGACATTTTCAACTTAGAGAATGGAAACTATGAGCCCTTGTTCTCGAGTTCCAAAACTGTGAATATGAATTCTACGAAGGATTTTCCATTCAATGAAAGACCATCATTCTCCTTGGTAAGTTAACTGTATAAAGTATTGCTATACAAAATTTCTAATTTGGTACCGTAATATGCTTTGTATTTTGGTAGAATTAATTTTAGTAAATTTATTGTGGTAGAATTGATATTTTAAAAGTGAGTTAGAGAATAATTGAATATATTTTTGATGGACGAATAAAATTATTTATAGAATATAAATAATATGTAATTTGTGGGTCTATATTTAGAGTCAATTCTAGTCAACAGAATTTATTGTTTTGGTGACATCAAATGCTGTTTTGTACCCTAAAGAAAGAGAGACTAAGTTATTAGACCTGCTGTAAATGATCATATGCATCTTACATGAACAAAGCACATGATTTTGTATTAGAATTGAATGGTGTTTATGGCAATGTATCATCTCCAATTGTGCAGGACGATATGGAAGGCGAACTCAGAAGACACAAGGTAGAGCTTAAGGAAGCAATGGATTTGTACCATGCAGCCTGCATAGAAGCAAGAGTCTCAAAACAGAAGGTTGTCTTGAGATCTCGATCTCTCAAATTAAAGATTTTTACATATGAATCAATTAAAAACTATCTTAAATTTGACCTGTTTGGTAATTATTTTATAAATCACATGACAATTTATAGTTGACAAATAGTACGAAAAACATGCACCATATATTAAATTAAAAGAAAATGTGATGGGAAGGGCATTAAATTTAGTTTTGATATAGAAGGCACTAAAGTTCAAAATTTTGACAAAGAGTATGCTAACTCTTGTATTTGGTCCAGCTGAGTGAACTTCAAGATTGGAACGTGAAACAAGAACAGAGACTGAAAGAGGTTGAGTCGGAGAATGCAAGATGTAAGGCAGCAATTGAAGCTACACAAAGGATGACAGCTGAAGGGGTGGAAAACAGAGTACTGAAGGCAGAAATAAGAGCAATTTTAGAGGCAGATGAAAGGACAAAGGTTTTGGATGCTTTACGTCACTCACACACTGTCATCAGATATCAAACCTTATTCCAAACTCTCGTTGTTCTGTTTTTATCCTATTTCTACATTTCCTCTTTCAAATGAGCTCTGAATCCTCGTCATACTTCAACTGTGTGACCAATATCTTATCTTTCACCACTATTCATGCTGATGATATAAATTTGAGCTTTTGTTTTTCCTATTTAGATTGGGTAGTGGCCTTGAACGAGGATGGAAAATTTCAAGGGATTCAAAAAACAGAGTTATTATTTATAATTCTACGTAATAGACTAGTATTTTCTTTGGTAGAGGATAATATCCTCAATAAAATTGATTGTAATATAGGTTGCTATTGTCTGGAGATCTTCGGATACAAGAAAAAGGTTTAAGATTGGTTCTAATATAAAATTAATTAAAAGATAATATTTAAATGCTTTCAAATTTTATTTTAAAAGAGCAGAATTATTTTAGCATATTTTTTTGTTTTATTCTCTTTAAATGATTTTTTTAATTTTGTCCCTATTTTATTTTATAAATTTTTAGTTTTAGTCATTAATGCTAATGGTCAAACCAACAACTGACAAATTATCATGGGTCAAATTAGTATAAAAAACTAAAAACAAAAATTTATAAAAAAAGATAAGAATTAAAACAAAAACAAATCATTTAAAAAATTAAGACTAAAATTTTACTAAAATGCGAAGACCAATAATATATTTAAGTCAATAATTATTTTATACATAATCTTAAAATAAATTTACTTAAAAGTATAAATAAACCAGCCATTAATATTTTTTCATATTAAAACTTGTTTATTTTGTAATTATAATAAAAGAAAATTTGTAGTTTCATTTTTGTTTATATGCAATTTAATTTTTAAAACTCGTTTAAATAAGCAAATATTAACTATAAAATTATATATTAATAAATATTTAATTTACCTACAATTTAACATACATAATATAATATTATATATTTTAATGATTAAATTAATAAAATTTAATATATTTATAAACAATTAAGTGAAATAAGTTTAGCTAACTTACTATGCTTAATAGCTTACATATAAATATCAATTTATTTGATATAAAAGTTTTTAATAAGTATATCAAACCTACAAAATTTATAAAATTTAAATATTTAATATTTTATCAAATAATTTTATTTTCACATACAATCTACTTTTAAGTGTAAGTAAATATAACTTTTATAAGATTATATACTTACGCAATGTTCAATTTGTCTAAAATTTAATATATTTATAATTATAATTACTTAACATAACATTATATAATTTAATAATTAAATCAATAAACTAATATATTTACCAACAATTATTAAACGTAATAAGTTAATAAAGATTTTTTTAGAGTAAGTGGATTATTTCCATTTTGTCATTATGTATATGTACACACCAGCTATTTCTAAGCTTTTAATGTGTTCAAACTTAATTCATTTACAGAATCAATTCACTTAAAAAAATATTTATTTTAATTTAATATTAAAATAAAATCTATATATTAATTTTTATTATACTCTTTTAAATTTTTTACTAACAATTTAAATTTTGTTAGATAAATTATATAATAAGAAAAATTACTGTAACTTCTAATTTGTGTTTTATTAAATGAAATTTTTTTAGTGAGTATAAAGTCAAACTTTAACTGATATATTTATTAAAACAAATGAAATTTATTAACTATTTAATGAGTTGAATTTAAATAATTCATGAATATTTTAAATCATTTATTAGTTTTTGACTTTTTTAATATTAAGACCGTAAATTTTATAATGTTTAAAAATAATTAAATATTATACAAATTATTAAATAATTTTTAAGTTATATTTACTTAATATATTTTTCTTTCTCTATTTTTGTATTATAAAGTGTTAATTTTTTGAAACATTTAATTCTGTTTTTATGGGGCAAAATTTTTAATTCAATTATTTAAAATAAAAATATTAAATACTTATATATTTTAATATAATGAACATATACTTTTCATTAAATTAATTTTTTCTTCCTTCTAAGAACATTATAGTATTTTCCCCCTATTTATGGCATTTAACATGCTATCTGTCATTCGTTGATTTTTTTTAATGTATATAATTAATTGAAACTATCATATATGTCATGTATACTTATTATTTTAAGTGAGAAAATATTGAAAATAAAAATAACAGTAAGTATATTATTTGATTTATTAATTGTTGTATTCTTTATATCGATAATTATAACTTAAAATATAAAAATATAACAGTTAAAAATTTATCTGAGAAAGTTTTAAAAATTAATTAAATTAGTATAAGATATTTTATTGGTGATTTATAAATATTTAAAAATTATGTAATATTATTAAAGAATTTTTTAGCATTTATGAAAAAAAAATTAAGGACGTGGTTGAAAAAATTAATAAATAAATTACCTGAAATTTAAAAGTTGATTAGAAACTAAAACCGGTAAATTGATAATTAGTTAATCAAATTAAAAATATTTGATAAAATTAACTGCTTTTTAGCTGATAAATATAAAAGATAAATAAGGATATAATGAAGGAAAAGATTTAGGTATAATATCATAGATATTTTAAGGGTTGTTCTCCAACTAAAAATAGAAATTTCACCTCTTAATATCAATATTTATTATATGGATTATTAAGGTAAAATTATAATTATAATTTAAAATTTAATACTTGAAATATTTATAACTCTGTATTTAAATTTTGATCCTATAATTAACTACTGAACTTAGACAAATTTTTGTAATTATATGTTTTAAAATAATTATAAAACTGAATTTTAATGTAGACAGAATTATTTATTATCTTAAAAATTAGGTTAATATTTTTATTAAATAAAATAAGATAATACAAATAAATTTAAATTTTTATTTTAACAATTTTTATTAAAAATAAATCAGATTTGATAATTTTTTAAATAAAAATATTTAGGAAAAAAGTAATTATTTACTTTATAAATTTTTTATTTTTTGAAGTGATGGTGCTTTGGACATCGGACATAAAATAAAGAGATATTAAGTTTCTATAATCAAATGGATAAAAGAAAGTTACAAAACAATATCAAGCATAAAAAAATTAGAAATAGTTTCAGCTAGTAACTGAAAATTATAAAAGCTAGTTGGGGCTATTGTTTCCGTTAGTAATTATCTATTTTAATTATTTTATTAAAGATGATTATTTTTGTTAAATAAATTTTTACTTAAATAAAAACCTTATCGAAATATAATTTTTTATTGAATGATTAAATAAAAATATTAATTTCATGTAAAAATTTAAAAGACTAATGTATTATTAAACGAGTAAAACATGTGAAAAGTAAAAAAAAAGTAATAAAAGTTCAAAGATTATATTGCAAAATTTAATACATTAATAACATTAAATATTATTATTTTTTAAAAAAATTATTATTTATTAATTTTTTATTGTATATCATTAAATACACATTAAAAACATAGATAATATTGTAGTAGGTTGATAATTTAAAAAGAAAAAAAATTGCCTTAATTAAAAGAGTCATTTAATTTATTTGGCACTTTACGAAATGCAAAATTGAATTTCCCCTTGCAAGTGGTGTATATATAGATGGATGCTGCACCCTTCAATATCATAGTAGTTGCATCCAAAATAAATCATCACTTTGGTTCCATTGAAGGTTTCTCTTCTTTTCCCAATGGCATCAAGCGATGACACCGCTCATGTTCTTCACCCTCCATCTGAGGATCTGAAGGATAAAAAAACAGCCTATGACTTCAACTTGTTGCAAAAGGAAGCAAAAATGCCAGAAGAGTTCGTTTGGCCTTCTGGGGATTTGGTGAAAGGCAGTGAAGAAGCACTTGATGCACCCATCATAGACTTAAAAGCCATAAAGAACGATGAAAGTGCTATGGCCTCTGCAGCTGAACTTGTGAAGAAGGCATGCATGAAACATGGCCTTTTTGAAGTGACCAACCATGGTGTTGACCCTCTTCTCATCATTGCTGCTCATAAAGAGTTTGACACCATTTTCAATCTTTCCATGAGCAAGAAGCTGAGTGCTGGGACTAAAACTAATGTGTATGGGTACTCAAGTGCTCATGCAGAGCGCTTTTCTTCTAGTTTGCCTTGGAAAGAGACGTTTACTTTCCCTTATAGTCACATCCATGAATCTCAGACACAGGTTGTTGACTTTTTCAAATCTGCCTTAGGAGAAGAGTTTCAACACACCGGGTAAAGTTCACTGTGAATTAATTGCATCATTAATTTTATTATCTCATCGCATTCAATTTTGCTCTTTTTTTATTTATCGTTTTAAGTTTTTCACAAACAAATTAAATAGTTTTAATATTATATATATATTATTAAATTTTCATTTGTTTTTCATGGTAAAATATAAGCTTAAAAAATTATAAGCAAAATTTTAAAATTTAAAAAAAAAATAATGGAATGACCTGCCAGCTAACCTGTTCTTAAATGTAGGGATGTTTAAATGTTGTCTATGCGGTTTGCCTCATTTAATTAATTGCAAACTTATATTATTATTATTATTAAAAGATAAATGCTAGCCACCGCATTAAAAGTAGTACTTAATGCATTAAAAGCTTTTTTATTCAAAAAATGTTATTAATACACCTCACTAATTAATAAAAATTTTCACTTTTAATTCTTTAATCAGTATATCCTTAAAACAATAGTTAATAAGGCTCTTTTAAAAAATTATTAATTAATTTTTAATATATTTAAGGATATATAATAAAAAATTATAGTATATAATTTTTTATTAAAAATTATATGATATTAAAGAATTCAATATATTAATAACATTAAATAAAATAATTTTAAAAAATTTCTATTTATTAATTTCTTATTATGTGTCCTTAGACACATATTAGAAAAATAAAAAAATAGTAAATTTTTATTTAAAATTGTAACATTTAATGTTATTAATGTATTGGATTCTCTGATATCTTGTTATTTTTAATAAAAAATTATTATATATTTTTATTATATGCTCTTGGATACATATTAAAAAAATTATTAATTTTTAAATCACATTATAAAGGAAAAAATTTATATATTTTAAATAAATTAATTATTATTTTTTATATCTTTATTTATTGAAACAATCACTTATTACTCATATAAATATATTTATTTAATATAAGACTTAGCAATTTAATTCTTTAATACTACCAAAAGTTTATAATATAATATTAATATACTATATAACTATTATTTATTAATTTTAAAAATTTCCTTATTCATGACGTGTATACTGAAATAGGTTGGTATATCAAAGATATTGCAATGCAATGAAGGAAATTACTGAGGTTGTTTTGGAGTTATTGGCCATTAGCTTAGGTGCAGATAGTTTGTATTATAAGAAATTTTTCGAAGATGCTGAAACAATAATGAGGTGCAACTCTTATCCTCCATGCAATGATTTCAAACTCACATTTGGAATTGGTCCTCACTGTGATCCAACTTCAATAACCATTCTTCATCAAGATCAAATTGGAGGTCTAGAAATTTTTGTTGATGATCAATGGGTGCCTGTTCGCCCTCGACCTCACACCTTCATAGTCAACATAGGTGACACATTTACGGTACGTATATCAGTCAATCTTCTTTATTATCAAATTATTTTTATTTCTACTCAATGATTTAAATGTTTCAGATAATCTTAATTATTCTTTTATTGATATACTTTTATTCATATAAAATATAATTTTTTAACATATTGAATTTTGTACCTGATAATAACCTATGTATACTTCGTCTTTATCAAAAGTTATAAAATTTAATGCATTCATATTATTAAATAGTATAATTTTAATATAAATATTATCTGTTAAAATTTTATCATGTATAATTTTATATTAGTTATAATAGTAATTAAATATTATATTTTTAGATTTATCAATAAAAGATAAATGAGAAATTAAGTTTAATAATTAATTTTAACAAAATAATTAAATTCTTTAATTTTTCTATTTTTCCCTCTAGACATATATAAATACAAATTAACGTGGTATCGTTATAAATGGGTTCGCAAACTGACTTTTCCCATTGGACTAGGCTTGAATTTTTTTAAAAATAATCCAAACCATGTATAGAATTATTGGGATCAACATGAGGAGTTTTACCCTTTTTAATCCGCAGTTGAATCTTTAAGATAGTAGTTTATAGGAGCCTAAATATAATTTGAAGTATGAGATCTAATGATAATGATCCATGGTTGTCTTAGGCATTGTCGAACGGGTTATACAAGAGTTGCTTCCATAGGGTATGGTGTAACACACAAGTGGTGAGGAGATCACTGTCTTTCTTTCTGTGCCCAAAAGGAGACAAAATAGTGAAACCCCCCAACAATCTCTTTAGCAAAGAAGAGGAAAGGAACTATCCTGATTTCACCTGGTTAGACTTTTATCAGTTTACACAGAAGCATTACAGGGTCGATGGTGACACTCTACAACGTTTCGTGTCCTGGCTTCGCGCTTCTAAGCCATCCAACTTATAGATACTTGGGATTGTCTTCATGTTAATCAAGATTGCATCTTCTTCAGTCAAGTGGGTACCGCTAGAATGTCTCCTTTTTATATATATATAGTTTTGTGTACATTGGTCAAGTGGATCTCATAAACACCACAAGGTCATGTTATATCCTATTTTCGAGTTTCCTTACTGATCAAATCATATGGATTATTATGAAATAATAATAAACTAGTGTACACAAACAATATGAATAATGAATTTTGATTTATATCCATATGTATCCATCTATTGATCTACTTTCAAAAATTAATTTTGTTTTTAGTTAAGTAATCAATTGGCATCTGATTATATCTTCTTCTTCTTCTTTTCTAATTTGAGTTGTCGATCAACATAGCGAAGAAATTATTTTTTACTTTTTATGATTAAAGTCATATTTTGTCTAAGGAAAAGAACCAATAGTTATATACACGTGTTGGATAGTTAAGTTGTCGGCATAAGTTATTAAGGATTGCAAATAAAATTATATATTAACGTCATTAATTTATTTATTTTTACAAACTAATATCCAATTATATTGCTGCAAGTGATTTAGTCTATTTTAGTACTTAAAATCTTAAGTATCTTACATCTTATAATAGTCAACAGTTATATTATAGTTAAAAAAGACTTGTACACAAAAGTCTAGCATAGCATAGAAGCGAATGTATGTGACGTACAAAATCTACGTACGGAAGAGAAGGGGGGGAAAATCTTAAATTAAATACAAAGGAGATGAAAGGAAAGATCACAATACAACACACCTCTAATTAATATCAATCCCAATGAGTACTATTTAAAGGATAATAGGCACTATGCTATTTATAGTGTTTTTTTAAGCCATTGACTTTGGGTTATGTGTACACTAGTCAAATGGGCTAAGGAAACACATTAAGGTCATGTTATATCCTATTTTTTACTTTTTACATGATGGCAAAATGTTCCGGTCGGTCTCGATCCGTCTAAAAATGATTATTTTAAATCTACTGTATTTGAAAAATAGGGTAAATTTTTTAGTTTAGCCTATTTAAAAGTGGATTGGTGAAGTAATGAGTCAGCTCACTAAAAATTAAAAAAAATATATAAAAAAAGTTAATTGATCATTGAATTAATAGATCAGTCTATAAAAAATTAAGTAAAAACAAAATAAATTATAATAAATAATAAAAAATATTTTTATATTAATAAAAATTAATATTAAAATTTTAAAAATAAAAATTAAGTTCAACAAGTTAACTCCTTTTAACTCATCATTGGCTTGTATTTTGACAGTCTAAAACAAGATGGAGCTGACGAGTCATTGAATCTAAATTACTTAATCTAACCTGTTAATTTTAGTAGGTTAAAAGGCTTGATCAATCGGGTCAAGCCCATTTTAATAACTTTAATTTTTTATATGTATTAAATGTTAATGACGAAAATAGAAAATGATAGACTTTAGTACCATTCAAATTATATGAAGTATCATGTATATAAATATAAAAATAACCTATTATGTACAAATAATATAGTTAATAAATTTTAATTTTTGTTAATATTTTATCTCTCAAAATTTCACATTAGAATAAAAATTAAGACTAACCATAATTTATAAACACCATCGTCTTAAACTCGTTAAAGCTCTTAATAAGAACAAAACTTTTGAGGGTGTTCACAAATGTCAAAGCAATAATACCTCCTTAGCCTTGAGCCCAACCACACTGCCAAGTAAAAAAGTTATTCAAACCAAATAATTACACACTTAAGTCCAATTAACAGGCATCTCTAGTTCAATCTACATATTCCATACAAATTAAAAATCCCTCTAAATGTACTTATTAAATAATTAATGATAATATATCTTTATATATTTTTGTGTGAATTTCTATTAAATAATTAGAATTGAGACCTTAATGTTATATTTTGTGTTTTACATGATAAACTGAAATACTAGATAAAAGAGGAGAAATAATATAAAAGTTTACATAAAATTATGAAAATCAAGTTACAGTGGATTATACTATTCTACAAGAGTTATTAAAGTAGCAAAATACGCCCATACCATTATTCATAACCAGCAGAGTAAAATTTGTTTTTGCATGTTAAATTAATTAGAGAATTGTGGGTCATTCATTTTTAAAGAATGCGATTATATCTATAATTTTATTTTATTTTTTTCCTAATTTTAGGATTCTTAATCTCCTTATCTTATTCATAATTTTTTAATTTAATTATTTAATTAGGTCTATATAAGAAGATTTTTAAGAATAATAGAGGGAGGAAGCTTTTCTAGTATCAAGAAATAAGTCTTAAATTTGCAAATTGTAATATCTTTTTTTCTTTGTTTTTACCTTGTGTTTCTCATGAAAATCCAAGGTTGTTGAAATTCCTTTTCTAATTTAAAGATAATTAAGGTTTAATTTTTCAAGAATTATGAAATTTGTTTGAATTTTTTCTTTCTTTGTTTTTTTATATTTATATGTCTCCAAGAATTATCTATTTCTACTTTGTTAATTAATGCAAAAAAGGCTTATTGCAGTATTAATAAAGCAAAATATTACTAATTGAAACTTTAGATTCACAATTTGTCTAAATATTCTAATGACTATTAGTAAAATAACATGGCTCAGTATAGAGCATTTGATATATTGTTATGTGAGCATATAATCTAATCTAAATAAACCAAACTTGCAAGTTTGTTAGTTAGAATTAAGTTTTTATGAATCTTAATGCTATCAATATATTAAATTTGTTAAGCAATCTGATGATTGTTTATTGATAAAGAAAATGATCAAATAATTTATTTTGATTATCAATAAAATAAAGTAAAAATTATTTGCTAGAGCTTACTAGTAACTATAATCAATTTATCAAAAAATAAAGAAACTATATTATATGTTAATAATTAGTTCAAAAAATCAATAATAAAATTACTCATTAGGCTAAATATTTATCTATTTAATTTTTTTATTATTTTATTTACTTATTTCTCTATTTTAATTCAGTTTTTACATAACTTTTATTTTTCATTTGTACAACAAAAGTAAATTTTATTGATCATGAAGACTTGATTATATTTATTACTATTTATAAATCTTTTAAAAGTAAAATAAATTTTTTTAGATTTGACATTTATCAGTTTAAAATATTTTTAAAAATACTGTTAATAAATATTTTAAGTAATTTTTAATGCATTTTAACATAATTTTTAATATTTTAATTTATTAACCTTGTAAAATTCATCAATTTTCATTGAAAATTGTAAAATCTCATGCACTAATAATAGAATTCTCAAAATCTTATTTTTAGTGATTTATTATTATACGATGAATACATATTAAAAACTTTTTCAATAAAACGATAATACACCGTCTGAGGAAAAGTCAACACTCTCTACAGTTACTTTTATAAGAAAGCGCTTTTAATTGTTCTTTATAACAATTAAAAAATATGTTTTTTAAAATATTAATTTTTAATTAATATTAATTTTAAAATTTATATTAATAAGATACTCAATTATTATTATTATTATTATTATTATTATTATTATTATTATTATTATTATATAAGTGAATATATCCAATCATTTAGTAAGTATATTTTTTATACATTACATTATAATTATTAAATAAATAATTTTTTAAAAATTATATTTATAGCATAAAAAATTATAAATTTTAAATACTAATATTTTTAATTATTAATAATAAATATTATGACTAAATTGAAAAGATAAAAAGTTAAAAAATAAATTATAAAAAAATTAAGATGAAACTTTAAATTAAAATTGAATTAAAAAAAAGCAAACTAATGTCTAAAAACACCCTCATTTAAAATACTCCTACGATCACCCTTATTTAATAATTGAGAGTCAAAATTTATAGGTAGATATATAAGTCACTAAGTTTGTTATTTATTATTATAAATATTTTTAAAATACAAATAAATAATTATTTTTTATATAAAAATCAAAGAAAGTATTTAAATAAAAAAATATGATATTAAAAATATAAAAATAATTTCATAAGTGTTTTTGTAATAAAAAAAATTTAATGTTTAGGTATATTAAATCATTTTTAATTAATACTTTTACTTTTGGAATAAAAAGCATTTAATTTTTAAGTGTTATAAAATCATTTAATACTTAGCTCTTCTACAGTGATACTTGTATAATATAAAAATATAAAAGCTCAATTTATGATTAATTTGAATTAAAATTTTTATAGATGAAACTATAATTTAATATTAATGGTACATATATTCTCACTCTTTCAATTTATACATTTTCTCATTTTAAAGTTAAATATTATAATTTGACAAAATACTTAAATAAATAATTAATGCATCAAAATTAATACCTATTATTAATTTATAGTATATTGTTTAATATATATATATATATATATATATATATATATATATATATATAGTAATGAAGAATAAAATTAGTGACTATTTTGAATTGTAAATTCTTTAAAAAGTTCTTAACTAACGAACAAGATACACGTCAATTATAATAAAAGAAATATTTTTAGACTCTCCCAAAAATATTTTTATAGAGATTATAATCATAACCATCTATTATTAATGTTCTTTGAATGTCAAGCAATACAATTGATAAGAGTATTTGGATTAAAAAATAATTAAAATAAATTAAAAAAAAGAAAAATAACAAAATTAATTTATATGAATAAAGACTTAAGATTTAAGATTCTTTTTTGATTATCTATATATTCTTCAATTTATTTTTTTATTTAATTATGTTTAATAATTACAAATTATCTAATCAATTGTTACAACTACCCAACAATTATGTAATAATAAAAATCTTCTTATTTATATATTACTCTGATGATCATAGAAAATAAAAAGATAAATAAAAATATAAAAAAATATTAAAGTTGTTAAACTCAAGTAGTCAATTTGAAGTTTAAGCAATAGATTAATCCTTTTATCTTACAAACTCAAATTATCTATTAGTTCTATTAGTCTATTAATGATACTATTAATTAACTAAAATTTATCTTTGAGTTGTCAATTTAAGAATAAAAATAATATTAATATTATAAAATTAAATTGAGATTTAAAAAATTACATCAAAAGAATTCATCTTATTCTTAAAAATATTTATTTATATATAATTATAAAAATAAAAATAAATACAACTAAATATAAAACATTTATAATAAAAAATAATAAAGAAAAAAAATTGTAGCATGGAAGTACAACTTTACGACCGAAAAGGAGATGGAAAAAGAAACCGATTAAATATTGAATATAAAATATGTAAAGCCTTATAAGGAGGGTAAAATCCAAATAGATAATAATTTGCTTTTTAAAAAATATGTTTTATTTACATACAAAAAATGACTTATCCATAGAAAAATATATAATTTTTTTTTCAAATTCAAAATTGAAATTGAAATTTAAAATCTGAAATTCAAATTCAAAATTCAAAATTTGAAATAAAATTGAAATTGAAATTTTAAAATTTAAAATTCAAATTTAAAATTTAATTTTCAGTTTCATAATCTACTTATTCTTTATTTATTTTAATATTTTTTCTTCATAACATGAAAAAAATGATTTATCGTCATTTCTTATAATAAAATTAAGAAAAATTTAACCAATTTAAAAGATAAAATTACAATTTTAATAAAAAATAAATTAAAATCTCATAAATAAAGTGATAAAATAACAATTTATCACTCATACATTAAATAAATAAATATACATATTTATATAATAATGAGTGAGTATTTTGTTAACATAAATTTTATAATAAATAAATCTATAAAAACAATTTAACAATTAATCCATCTAAAAATAAATTTTTATATCTTATAAAAAATAATGGTAGTTAATTTTTTTTTTAAAAAAATTGAATGTATTATTACTATATACAAATAATTAATAGGTTATCCTCAAATACATCTCAAGAATAATAAATCATATGTGATATTTTCATTAAAAAATTGGGTATATTATTATTATTATTATTATTATATATAATTAAGGAGTTTGAATCCAATAAAAAAATATTTATTAGTTTGTGTGATTTATTTGGTTAAAATTTTTTGTCAATTTAAATTTAGGACTTCATTAATATTGTATAATATAAAATGTTTAAAATAATAAAACATTTAATTTCATTAAATGCTATTTGATGTTTTAATGAACTATAAATGCATATTAATATATAGTACTTTTAAATTAATACAATTAAATCTCTACCTAATAGTTTTGACCTTTGGAGAGTAGAATGTTGCCTATAAATAGCCTTTCATCTAATCCCTCATAAGCAAGCATTGTGTGTGTTGTGGTGTGCGAACGTGAATCTCCAATTGCTTTTTGCTAATGGAATCAAAGGGTAACGCCGTTGAACACACCCAGTCTAAGGAGCTAAATGAAGTTAACAGTTTTGACTTCAAATTGCTGACTGAAAAAGATCGTTTGCCCGAACAATTTATTTGGTCATCTAAGGATTTAGTCGAAGGCAGTTCAGAAAAGCTCAATGCACCCCTCATAGACTTAAAGGCCATCAAGGATGATGAGGCTGCTATGGCCACTGCTGTTGAGCTTGTAAGGAAGGGATGCATGAAGCATGGCTTCTTTGAAGTCACCAACCATGGTATGGACCCTCTTCTTATCTCTGCTGCTCATCAACAATTTGACTCCATTTTCAATCTTCCCATGACCAAAAAGTTCAGTGCTAAGACCAGTGTGTGGGGCTACTCAAGTGGTCATGCAGAGAGATTTTCTTCTGATTTGCCATGGAAAGAGACATTTACTTATCGGTACAATTACATCCCCAAATCTCAGTCACAGGTTGTTGACTTCTTAAAGTCTGTCTTAGGAGAAGACTTTCATCATGCTGGGTAAGGTCCACAGTCACTATTCTCATCATTAATTATCTCATATTCTCAATGCAGGTGAGGTTAATTCCAGAAATATTAATAAAGAAAATGCTTTTTTTTGTGTGTGGCTATTTTAGCTACAATTTTTTTTATATTTAAAAAGGTGACATGTCTTTTTAAAATATTAATTAATTTTTATTTTTAAACTTTTTCTCTTTTAAAGATATGTATCACTTTTTGCATGAGTAAATGGATTTATAAGATAAAATATTAAAAAGTTAATATTTCTCTATTAATAATCAATGCACTCTTTTTAACACATGGTCATTAAATAAATGAAATTTATGTCAATTTGACTGTATCATAAATGAAAATAATAAAATAAGAGGTGATACTCAGGTCATTTAATAAATTTTATATAAACTTTATTTAATAATAAAAATATGTATTAAAATAGTTTACTTAATATATGTTTAATGACACATATTAAAAAGTATAAAATATATTATATTAAATACTTTTAGTTATTATAAAAAGAAAAGAATTGAATATTTTTTTTATAATTTTGAGATAATAAATATTTATTTTTAATATATATATTTTTTTAACTTCTTAACTTCCGAAAAACCGATTAAAAAGCGTCTTAATATATAGCGTTTCTCAAAGTATTTATCATAGAATACACTGGTAATGTGTCTATTACTCAGGCCAGAGTGGTGTGTGCACAAAATTAAACTGCACAGACAAACAACAACTTTTGTTTGATATACTTATATGTTAGATATGAACTCAACTAGTCTATACGCACAATATATACATCAATTGTTTCCTCGAGTAACATGTTTTTTTCTCAAAAAAATATAATTAGGTTGGTGAATCAAAGGTACTGCGAAGCAATGAAGGAAATATCTATGGTCATTTTGGAGTTATTGGCCATTAGTTTGGGTATAGATCATTCACATTTTCAAAGATTTTTTGAAGATGGAGAAGCAATAATGAGGTGCAATTGCTACCCACCTTGCAATAGGTCCAGTCTCACTCTTGGTGTTGGCCCTCACTGTGATCCAACCTCAATAACCATTCTTCATCATGACCAAGTTCCAGGTCTTGAAGTTTATGTCGATGACAAATGGTTAGCTGTTCCCCCTCGACCAGAAGCACCTGATGCCTTCATTATAAACATAGGTGATACTTTTATGGTACGTAAACTAATACTTTTTTCTTATTGTTATTATAAAATGGTTTTCACTAGCCAAATTGGATCATATAAGGTAATGGTGCAAAGATAAATGTCCAACTTAATCTTATTAAGTCTGCATTAGTTTTAGATAATTTTTTTTAATTTATGAAAGAAATTTTATTATTTTTAATGTACATTTGTTTGGTTGTGTCTTAGGCATTGTCAAATGGGGTATACAAGAGTTGTCTGCATAGAGTGTTGGTTAACGGAGAGGTGAAGAGGAAGACTCTGACATTCTTTTTGAACCCAAGAGGAAACAAAATAGTGAGACCACCACATGATTTATATGACAATGAAGAGGAAAGAAAATATCCAAATTTCAGATGGCTGGAGTTGTTTGAGTTTACCCAAAAACATCACAGAGCTGATCCCAACACACTTCCAGATTTTGTGTCGTGGCTTCGTTCTTCCAAGCCATCCAACTAAGATACTTTGGAATTTGGGTGCTAAGGAAGATCACAACTTCAGCAAAGAAGAACCACCAAAATAGCTTCTTCTTCTTCATCAACTATAATTGTGTACACTGCTCAGTGGGTCCATGTTTAGGTTTAACTCATCTAAAGTTTTAAAGTAAAATTAAATCAAAAATTATCCACCGTTATTTAAAATAAATAAAATTAATTTTAAATTGACGGTGAATAATTTTTTTTATCCATTTTATCACTTTAGATTAATCATTTTTTTTGTTTAATACCTATATGATGCATACAGAAAGACAATGGGGAATTTTGGTTCCTAAATCAATTTGTATGAATTACTCTATATAAATAAAACATAGTGTACACAAACAACAGGAGCAATGAATTTTGATTTCTGTTATATATGTATCCATGTTGTCGATACTGACCTCATCACTGTATTATATGTTCTTTTTAATGTACATTTTTAAAATATGTTTGTATAAAAGATAAATAAAAATTTATATAATTATATACACACATATTATTACTTATATTTTATTAATTTATTGAATTTATACCAAAAGTTTTTATATTTATAAATATAATTTTTAAGGTACATCTATCGATACATAACAACAATTTACATATAATAAATTTTTATAAGAAATTATAAGATATTATTAGACCAGTTTTATAATTTTTAATTTAATTTAATTCATTATTTATAAACTTTCTAACGTGGGTTCTTGAGCATAGATTGAATTTTTTTTATATAAATTTATAGGTTATAAATTTGAATTTTAACACATCATTTAATAGTTTATTTTTAAAATTAACTCATCAATTTTAAAGTGTTGTCTTTTAAATTTTTATCATTTAATAAAATAAAATATACATTTTTGGTATTCCATTCCTTAATTGTTTGACGCTGATGATATTTTTTATGCATGTTTAAGAAATTTATCTAAATTAAAAAAACTTATGTAATGCAAAAAAGCTTTTCAAAAATGTTAAATTTAATTTAACTTTTTTGGTCTCTCTCTTTTTAAAAGTTTCACCCTTAATAGAAATAGAGTTGTGTCAAGTTTTGGTAGAAAAATTTTGTTATCTTTAGTAATCTTACTTGACCTGACCCCACAGGGTGGACGAAACAAGTTATAAACCAAAACAAGTCACAAAGACATTTAAGTTTATTTTATTATGAAAAATGAAAATTCTAAACGTTACATTATATTCTTACACGCATAATTATATGTATATAAGTTAGAATATACTGAAAAATGAAGCCAAACATAGAAGCTTGGTCTCACTCGTACCAATGCCCCAATGAATCAATCTGGTCTTGAGGCCGTAGCTGTTTTTGAATTGAATTTGGGGAGAAGGGGAGTGAAAATTGTTGACCAGTGACCACATAGGGAGGCTGAGAAATGAGATTTGTTGGGTTATTATATACACTGTTGAATGGTTGATTATTTTCATCTTGGTTATGATGGTGGTGTTGTAGCCTTTGTTCAGAACGAAGTTGCTTTGGAATATTAGGCTTTTCTCCTTCTATGTCTCTATATTTCTGGAGGTAAGTTTTTAATGGTTCCACATAATCCTCAAAGCCTAAGGTTGTGATGGCCCATATGATATCATCCCCATTGATGGTCTTTCTCTTTTCTCTTTGGCATTTGTCAGATGCTTCCCCAGTCACAAAGCTAATGAACTCTGACACACATTCTTGAACTGTCTCTTTTGCATCCTTTGAGATTTTCCCATTTTGGGGAATCACTTTTTTCATGATTCTTCCCACATTGGCTATAGGGAGAAAACGGTCCTGTTCTTTGTTGTTGTTGCTGTTGTTGTTTGTTGTCTTTAGGCAAGGACTTTCAGGGCACTCTGTTTTGATCCCATTTGACAAATTGTTATGGCTTTCATATTCCATACCTCTAAGGGAGGTAAGTGGATCATCAACATTTAGGATATTAATTAATTAATTATTACATTACCTATTGTATAGATAAACTGAAAAAGAGGCATAAAAATAGGCCTGTAAAAAGGGTTAGGACAAGTAAATGTTAAAAAGGAAAAAGGAATGGGTGGGGTTGATTTTCATCACTGGAATCCCCTGGACTCGCTCTACATGGCTAGGGACCACTTCATGTAACTCTTAGGACTCAATCCAAATTTCATTGCACTATTATTGACAATTAATTAAAGCACCGTTTATTGACCCTTCCGCATACTACATTAACTTTTGTCTCTGCAGGCGTGTGTAAAACATGATTAAATAATTACACATATCAAATTTAGTTAAAAAAAATTACTAGTTTTTTTATTAAAAGTTATTTTTATTAATTTAATCATTAAATTTAAAGTTCGTAAGTCTGCAAAAATAGTGTATAAAATTTTAAGAGGAAGGAGTATTTTTTTAAGATAAAAGTAGTTGATTTGAACAATAAAAGAATTTCTTACTCCACTTGACCAATCTACTCAGATTATATAACTCAAAAAACTATCGATACTTCATCATTCTGTTTTATATAAACTAGTGGAGCATATCTATATACTCCTCGATCGGCCTCTAGATTGATAATTCGCAAGCTAGTGGAGCATCAAATTCCATTACTCCAAAATCCCCAATATTTGCTGTTCTCCTTTACCTTGGTCGAAGAAGTGATACTGTTTCATCTCTGTTTATTTTTTAAGCTTCGCCTTTTCCAATAAATATACAATCACAATCTGGTGAAACAACATTCAAACAAAAAAAAATATTAGAATAATAATAAAAGCTGCATAAATTCTCTTTTTGTTTTTCAATCCATCATAATATGCGCAAAATTTATACTTACGATCTTATATAACAAAATTCTCACCTTAACAAATCTGACATTGATGATCTTCATGTAAATAGAATAAATAAATAAATAAAAACCACGATCAGTGGTCTTAGATTTCAAAATGAAACAATTGTTTATTAAATGAAGAACATTTTAATTTGTAAAATTCAATGAAGAACTTATTACAAAGTTAAATGTTTGGGGGAACAATCATTTATTAGAGGAAGAACATTTTAAAAGGTTAAATTACAGTGAAGAACTTATTACAAAGCTAAATGTCTGGTTGGGGGAACTCTTCTTGTCATCTGTCAACTTGACAATTGTGAATTTGTTGACAGCACGTGTCGCAGTTAATTAGAGGGAAAAAAAATTTGTCACTAAGACGTGTCATAATCATAAGTGTCACTAGTAAAGTTGCTGAATCTAAACAATAGAAATGGGCTTAAATTGATGGCCATTAGAAAATGGGAGTTGAACAAAAACGATTGTTTTTGGTACTTCAGTCTTTCCTTCCCCTTTCACTCATCTTCCAGTTGGATTCTGTCCACACATAGTGTGAGGAGAAAGCTACGAAGTCAGTGTCAGTTAAGAAATAGTGTAAGTGCGTTACACTTGCTGCCGCAGACTAACATATTAAGAAATTATCACAAAGGATCTCTTCTCTTCTGACGTATGCAGTAATTATATCTACATCCTTCTTGTTTTAAGAATTATCCCTACCTTTCATGTATAGTCCTTGCTTTGTTACTTCAGAAGGTATTTAGTGTGTATCTGTCTCTTTTTTTAAAAAAAAAAGAAAAAAAGTATACAGTTTTATTATGTTCCTAAGACAAAAAATAATGATTTTTCAAAAATAATTATTTCAAAACATGCAGTAAGTATACAACTTGTACATAAAAGTGTTGATGTATAAAATAAGAGGTGCAAGTGACTTTCCAATCGAGGAGTCTAACTATAATTGTCATTAACTTTAATAGCGATCGATATAAAATGTCCTTAATATTAATCCCTCATAAATGGATATGTTTATTGGTGAACAGAAAACGTATCCTAAAAATTGTACAAGGCTAAAAAAGAAATCCAATCTTTCGGAACAAAACTCACCTACTTTAACTGACTTGTTTAGTTTGATTCTCAAATGCTAGTGATTAATAACTTACGGAACACGTTAATTTTGTACAAAGTATAGATGAACCGACGCCTCCCCACTCTTTTTGTTAAAGAAAAAAAACCTATTATAATGCTTCAAATTATAAGAGCATCAATAATTTGAAATTGGAATAAATAATATATTGTTCCTGGTCAGATATTCAATCATATTAGTACTAACTTTTGGAGAACATCTCATTATAACTTTCTACAATCTCAACTATTAACTACCAAAAGCCTCTACATTTGAAAGAATGTGATCAAATTTTCTTAACTATGGCACCATGTTACAGCAAATGACACCAACCCCAAAACAGAGGAGATCAAAATTAATTACCAAAGTAAAAAAGACGAGAACACGTAAATGCCTAGCTATAATGATACATAAATAATCGCTCAAGTACAGTTACAAAAGAATTTTGAGCAGACAAAACTCAAAAAACACCTAAACAATATTGCCAATAGCATACTCGAGTGTCTCCAATTCTTTAGGCCGCCACATGGATTTCTCGACACACAAAAAGCCCTGCGTATCTTTAGAGTAAGTCATGCGAACCTCCCACTGCAGGGACTTCATCATACTTTCAAGCTCGGTAATGATCTCAACAGTGTCCCGGACAACAAGCTTTCCCTCAGGCCTAAGAATTCGATCAACCTCAGCCACTACAGCTTTCAAATTACACCTGCATGACCGTTGAACATTAGCAAAACAAGAAAAATATGCAGATTGTTTCTAATGAAATAACCACAATTTTACTGGTGATGAACGAGAAATGAAATAGCTGTAGCACCTGTTCTTGAGCTTTGAAAACAGATGATCTGCATGAAGTAGATCATAGGACCTGGGATAGGTGCTAAATGATTCACACCAATCGTGATATATGCCAAAAAGACCTCGCTCATAAATAATAGGAAGTGTGTCCGGGGAATCTACTGAAACCACATTCATTACCCAAATATTCAAATCCTTCAAGGCTGCAGCAAAACTGGAACCGAAAAAACAGAAAGATGTCAAATATAGGTGGGAATAATAGCAGGTTAATATAATTCAGAATAACACAAGAAAAAACGTTCTGCTCACCCTCCATAGACTGATCTCATATCCATGACATTTCTTACATTGGACCATTGAATTCCCATCCCATTAAGATAAGAATTGGACACTACACGTTTCCAGTGTTCATAATCAGCAGTAAAATCTTCAGGGGCAGGCTTTCCATAAACTCCAACTTGAGAATTTGTCAACCAGTAAGGTGTTTTAGTCAGTCTTGCTGACCACTTCTCTGGCCATTGTGACCCACGTTCTGTAGAACTCACTGGCAATTTGTGCATGCAAGCTTGTAATGGAATGTTCCTGCCACCAGAGAGATTAGATAACAGCCACATATTACACCTTCGTTGGGTGTATAATGTAAACCAATTCAATTATTGCACAGGCGATGCGTAAGAATATATCGGTATCCTAGCCTACAATGCTACAGGTTTATTGTAACTTAAGCAGATACATTGGAATGAAAACACTGTTCATTTGTAGCAGAATCTAACTGTATCAAAAAATAAATATGCAACTGTTTATATTACAGTTAAAGATATTCAGCAGCAATTAACAAAGTAAAACCTCCTGTTTTTTTTTTCTGGTTTGATTTTTAATTAAAAAAGTTACTAATGTCTCAGTTAATGAAGAAATACCATGCTGCATTGGGATCATCAGAGTCTTGACATATAGGAGGCTGATTCTTAGAATGTTTCTCATAACAATCATTAGAAGTCGGCTTCTTATACACAGCTATACCAACTCCATTAAGTTTATCCTTGCTGATGGATACAACTTCCCAGCACATTGCCTTTGTTAGTGCCTTCATTGCTGCAAATTAATTCATAAAATGTCAGAATTATTTTATCAGGTTAGAAACATTAAAAATGATTAATAAAGGCAGACAATAGTTGATTATTATCTACCATTCCATATTTCAACATCTTCAGGAAGCTTCTGATAAATAGGAGTAGCAGACCATACAAAGAAACCACCAGGTCGCAAAACCCTATTCAGCTCCAAAAGAAGTTTGCCACCTACAGTTATACAAACAGTAAGTCCAAAATAAAATCCAAGAGCAGGAACTTACAAGCTACGTGAAACTTACAAGCTTGTATGAACAAAATTTTATCAAATCGCTTTAATAAAAGTTAGGTCATTGAATACCTTCTATATGCCATGGAACTCTACAGCGTGCACAATGGACTACATCAAATACTCTCCCAGGGAAGGGAAGCCTCTTTGTGCCCATCACAGCTGATATAGCAGGAATTCCTCTTTCAAGTGCAAACTGTACCTGAGCTTCATGTTCGTCTTTTGGTGCCAATGACATAGTAAGTACATCTCTTTCAAAGAGAAAGCCACCAAAGCTGGCAACACCACATCCAACATCTAAAATCACACGTGACCTTTTGCCCCAAGCAATATCAGGTACGGACTGCAGCATCACAAAGTTTCTTATATTAAGTAAAGAGTTCAACAACATGAAGAAAACATCACATCCACAATCACATTTTCTCCTATTGACAAAAAATAAGTTCAACATAGAACCTCAAATCCTATAGTAGTAGTAGTAGTAGTAGGCCACTTATCTATCCCAACTCTTGTTTACTATTTGTCAGTATGCTAATGTCATCTTGTGTCCAGTTGCTATCTATTAGGGTTTCACAACAGGTTGGACATTAAAAAAAGAATTACAATCACTTATTTCATGTAAAGATAGCATCAATAGTTTTTTTTTGCTTGGATATCATGTAATGTTAGATAACTTAATCCAAGATAAGTCACCTAAGAAATTGCCATCAGGATTTTTATTTTGAGTTTTGCTAATGTGTACCCTTAGGACATATATTAAGAAATTAAAATATAAACTTTTAAATAAAAAATAAAAAATAAAAACATTTAATATATAGAATATACAGTATTTTTTTTAAGTTACAGATTAACAAATTCCTTTTTCTTATTTTAAACATAAATTGTCAAGAGGCTGAAATTTTGACAAGATTTTTTTCATTAAGGTTATATAACTAGATAAGATAAAATTTGGTTTAATTGCAATTTTAGGTCCCTCTAATTTGTAACATATACAGCAATTATGTCCAAATACTCAGTTTAGTTTTCGCTTTGTTTCAATTAAATATAATTTTGAATTAGAAGTAGATGAAGAGATCAAGAAATATACAAAGAGAAGAAGAGTTTAGAAGTTATTGGATTAGAAAATTGCTCAAGGGGAGATCAAATAGAACTGGCAGATACAATATTTGTTATGTTGCACTGTTAATATATTAAACATGCAGTAGCAAAAGGTTATCTAGACTTTTATATGTGGAGTCTAACACTAAAAGCAACTAACAACAGTCAATCCTGATAAGATCAGAGTCTGTATTTTACCTTTTGTATGGTGTCAATGTAATGAAGTGCACCATGTTTAAATTGGGTTCCACCACCTGGAAAGGTAAGGTACTCGCCTGCAACTTTCACCCAATTCTGGTGCCCCTTATATTCAGCAAGCTTGGTGTGTGGAACATTAGAATACCAAATCTGCAGGAAAACAGTTTATTATTATATGGAAGAATAAAACTTTAAACCAAGAATGATAATTGACATGCATGTGTTAATGTCCACCTTCTCTCTGCTTTTGGGCCACTCAATTGGGCGTTTATATCTTTCAGGAAGAGGGACAAGGCAAGTAGGAGGTTCTTCAGGACATTGCCTTTCTCTGTGTTCGTAGTGTTTAGTACTTGGAAGACTCTTAATTGCTTTCAAGTTGTCAAGGCATGGGATGTAATCAGGACCAGCAGTGGCATTGCAGAGTTTCCAATTGTACCCAGTAGATTGCTTAGAGGATTCTTGAGACTCCTTTTCATTCTTTGACTCTGACTTCTGAGTAGCCCAAGAACCATTTTGAGTAGTACTTTCATTCAGAAGCTCTGACTGAGCCCCAGAAGGGTATACTTCATTTGAACCCTGATTGGCATTGTCATCTGTTTTCTGCTCACTAGAGTTTTCATCAGACTCTTTGTTACTACTTTGTTCCACCTTTTCTTCTGTCTTTCCTGTAGTCTCACTTGTGTCATCAGATTTCTTTTCATTTTCATCTGAATCAGATTTATTCGCCAGTTCATCTGAATCAGAATGCTTGCCATCGTTTGATTCGGATTTCTTTTCAGTCTCATCTGAATCAGATTTCTTCTCATTCTCATCAGAATCAGATTTCTTCTCATTCTCATCAGAATCAGATTTTTTCTCACTCACATCAGAGTCAGATTGCTTCTCATTTTCATCAGAATCAGATTTCTTCTCACTTACATTTGAGTCAGTATTTTCTGTCTTGGTATCTTGAGACGATTTCTCTTCAGACTTTTCATCCAATTTCTCATCCTGTTTCTCTGTTGATGACATATCGGAGGTGACACTATTATCCCCCTTAGTTGCATCCTCAGGCAGATCACCCGAATTATCTTCAAACTGCGGAGATTCGTTATTAGTGGTGTCAGTTGCCTGTTCGTTCACCTCACTCTGTTCTTTTACCTCACTCTTATTATCTTGAGGCACATCTACATTTTGCGCAGGCACCCTAGACGACGATGTCATCATCCAAACCCCAAACAAGCATAGAGCCACAAACACAACAATGGTCACTGTAGAACAGTAACTCGACGGCGATCGTTTATTGTCTATTCTAGTATATTTCCCTAGAGCCATGTTGTCAGAGGGTGCAAATGTTGAGAGATAGTTCAGACCTGGACATGAACCAAACAACAATTAAACACCACCCCATCGATTGGACTCGATTGGACTCAGGTCAGTAGTAGCAACACTCAATTGCCAATATCTATACAGTTAGAAGGAAAAATACATAAAATGAACTAAAAACTCACAGGTTCACCAAACTTTCTCGTGCAAAAGCTATTTATGAAAATCAAATCAAAACGCTTACAAAATTGGGATTGGGATGATTTATAACATTGTCCAATCAGATAAAATTAGGAGGGTTTGGCACGTTTGAATTTTCTGCTTTTCCTTAATGCATGACATTGCCAAGTCATGAGAGAGAGAGAGAGAGAAAGAAAACACAGACACTGCTTCCATGCAGGACTAACGAAGGCTTGCACAATTCAAGGGAAAATACGCGCATATTCATATGTATCATTCTCTTTCATAACATGAGACCATCGTCTTATTAAGGACAACGACCAGATCTAATAAATTAATCAGAATCGAGAGAGCCAATAAATCAAAATAACCAGAAAAAAAAAAGGAACAGAAATTCAACAGTAAAATTCCACGACAAAGACTCAAATCCGGATCCTCTCCAGCATAATTTTCTCCAGCCTCTCTCTAACAAAATCTTGACCATTATTTTTTATTTTGAATGGCTAAGATGGGTCCCAAAGACTGTTACACATAGCACGAAACACGGAACCACGGTAAATTTGAACAGATTCAACCAACCAAAGAAAAGACACGTTCAACGAGAAATCAACAACACTCACACAGATCTACACCGCCAGAAACAAAACTGCACCAGGAGTATAAACAACACGCAAACGCAACCAAGTTAAACGTGAAGCGAAAAATAAGTTAAAAAAACGACGGAATATTAAAATGAAAGAAGCAAAACCGCGAAATTTGAATATCAAACGAACAACAACAAGATTCGGGTGAATATAATGGTAGATCTAAATAAGTAGAGAGGAGAAGAGAAAGATTGGAAGTACCAAAGCTGAATCGAAATAAATCGAATCTTTGAGAGTAGAGGGAATGGTTATCTGTGCATTTTGTTACGCATGCTAAAGGGAGAAAGAAAAAAGAGAAGTTGGAATTGGAGTGCGATGGGAATAGTTAGAGGTAGATATAATGACAAAGGTGGGTGGGGTAGAGTAGCATTTGGGAGAAAACAAAATATGAATGGATTGTTATGGGGAAAAGGCAAAAATAAATAAAGAAAATTAAAGAGTAGGAAGGAGTGGGGAAAAGGCAAAGGATGATATCCTAAAAACAGAGACTCGGAGAGAGTGACGGCCTCATGAAAGCCGTGAAACCGGTGAGGTGAGGAATGAGGATCAGCATGTGCGGGTTTGCTAAACAAAGACTCAATGCCGCAGTAATTTCGCCACCCTCTCTTTTTCTTTCCTAGTTACTACTATTCAACATTAATTCCTCTTTTTCTTTTTCTTTTTTTATTAGTATTTTCGTTCTTTATTATTTCTTGTTTTTCATTTTATATAAATTTAATATAATTATGTTATATAATTATTATCTTTTATCAAATAAATATTAATTATTCATTAATTTTATAAATTAAAACTAAAAGTGAATCAAATAATGCATTAAATTTTACAATTTTTTTTGTATATCTTTAAGCCTATATTAAAAAAAATCGTTAATGAGTTTATCAAATTCTCAACATAACGTGTTCTATTAACGAAAAAAATATAATTTCTAACAAAATTTTAAAGGTGATTATTGAAGTTAATTAATATTTTTTATTTCAACAAAAATACATTAATAACATTAAAGATCTTATTAACTAATATTTTAATGAATAAAAATTTATATTTTTTTATTAAAAATATATGATAGAAATGTATTGAAAATTACAGTAGTTGTGCATTAACATATCTGGCATTTTCTTTATTTGTAGTTTTCCTTCGCGTTCAAGTTATGCTAGATATCCCATCCCATTAAGAATTAAAATTCTATACTTCGATCGCACTCAACTTATAGCCCCTTTAATTAAGAACAATAAATGAACAAATTCACGAATTCAATGGTCACCTTCCAGTTACCATTAATGATTCCAATGTAGATTAGAGAGGATTATATTCAATGGAATGGAAGGTATACACATCGTTTGTTTGGAGTTGGTTCTTTGAAGTAAAAATTTTGTGAAGTGATAATGGCCTAATTATCCTTAATACTGAATGAGTTAGAGTAATTGATTTGGCTTTTTCAAAAGTTTCAATTTTTCTAAAATTAATGTTAATAATAAAATTTTATATTGAAAGTTAAATTTATAATTTTAATATATTCATTCTCATAAATTTTAAAATAATTATAGAAATGTTTACGGTGAAAATTTGCAAGAATATTAGTAAATAATCCAAGATCAATATGGGGATCGGATTTAAGTCCTCCTAAGTTTTTTTAAGTGTACTATTTTAACGTAATGTTCAAATTGACTTTGTAAAATAGAGTATTAAATAAGAATAGTAAGCAATATTTTGATGAAATTGATTAAACATAGAGGTTTTACATAAAGCGTGCAAAACAAGCACTGGATTGCAAAGATATAAACAAAAGCAAACAAACAAACAAAAGAAACTAGAATTAAAATGCGGGAATGTAAAGGTGCAGAATGTAAAAGTATAACTCCATAGCAATAGCGAACAACGATAACCATGTGTCTTTGAGGAGCTAGTATTTGGCGCAATGCAGGGTTTTAGCGTTAAGAGGTTTTTAGGTATAATGTCTGGGTGCTAAAGTCGTCTAAGGTATTTATAGGTAGGCAGATCACCGCTGTCTTCCTTCTTTTGCAGGCACTTTCTTAGTAATTGTCTTCCGTGCGTGCTTGCTTGCAACTGTTGCTGCCTATTATCCACGTTTGCTTATGACCGTGCTATCGGTTGAGACTCTTTCTGTAACTGCTATCGTTCATAATCTTTTTTTATGTTGATGGATCTTTATCTGATGATAACTACTGGTAACTGTTGGTAATCGCTTCTGAACCTTGCATTAACCTCTTGAGTCTTATCATGACTCTTATGGACTTTTCTATTTTTCGAGCAGTTCTGGGAGAAATCAAAGAAGTTCATTTAGCTTTGTGGACTTGGAGTAATTTCTCCTTTGATATCTATTTTTTGATTAAATCTGGAGGGTACTGAGAGCTCTTTTTGGTCACGTGGACTTAGAATATTTTCTTTGCTCATTTTTGTTCTTCGAACAAATTTGGAGAAGGTCTGGAGCTCAATCAGGTCTGTGGGCTTAAAATATTTTTTAACCACTTCTTATTTTTCGAACAATTCTGGAGGGAGTTTAGAGCTCAGTCAGGTTTGTGGACCGATCGCTTCTGTTTTTTAAGCAATTATGGAGAAGGTCTGGAACTTTAAAACCCTCGAAAACTCTTCGAACGACCTTTAGTCTGGTGGACTTAGCATATTCCTCTTGTCAATCTTATTTTTCGACCAGCTTTAGATATCCTCAATCTAATGACTAGAAAAGCTTCAGAAACTCCTCAAAGAGACCTTCAGTTTTATGGACTTGAAATAATTTTCTACTATTCTCTTGCCTTTTAAGCAATTTTGAGGAAAATCAGGTATGTGACAAAAATATCTAAAACAACTCGAAATGTGACTTTTTTAACAAAAATTAAGGTTCTAAACAACCTTCCAACACTTCTTAGATTCAGGCCTACTTTTTACTAAATAATTGAACTCCTTCTCCGACCTTCTAAAACTCGTCGAAATATAACTTCTTCTACTATAATTTTATAACTTAAAATTTTTTCTTACCCTAAATAAGAAACTAATTTTTTTTTATAATTTTTTAAAAATATTCCCTAATTAGTATAGTAGATAAATGGCACACTAGAAAATCAAATAAAATTTAGACTGCCACTATTTTAAATTTTAATTTTTATACTATAATTTATATATTAGATCGAATTTCTGATGCTAAGCCGTGAATGTCGGTGAACATTGAATATCCATTACCGATTATAAACATCTCTTGCGGTGCCGGCACGTCTCCTTTTCAAATCTCAAAAAACAAATGTTGACAAAAACAAAAACAAACAAATAAATAAATTGACTGGTAACATTGGCCACTGACCTACAAATTAGAGGGGAGAAAATATTCAAAAAGGAAATTTTTTTTAATATTTTCATTAATTATGTATTAATTTTTACTTGACGAAGTAAAAACTTGAATGGGGATATATTATTTATATATATAATAGTTATTAAATGTAAATATTCCTCCCAAGAGTGTGGGCACATGTAATTGGTAGCTTGCAAATCGACCTCACTGAGATCCATAACGTGGCGCCCACCACCCCACCTGCGATGTTTTTTTTTTTTCTCTTTATCCTTTAATTTGATTAATTTCAGACATAAAAATGTATAATAAATGCGAAAGATACCTAATGTCGCATCTCACGGATCGATCGTGGAGAAGACGACGGGGTTGGGGACATAAAAAGGACGCGGAAAGAAAGTGAAAGATAATGAACAACCATGCGTTGGGGACAAACTGTCACACACGAGGTTCCGCATAGTCAACACTTTTTTTCTCTTCTTTTATTTTGCTTCAAGCATATCTCAAATCTTAATTATTCACCTATATTCCTTTTAATATATTTTTAATGATTAATAATTTAATTTTGTTCATTTAGAAATTTTATAAAATTAATAAATATTTAATTAATTTTTATAATTATATTTTTAATAATTAATGTGTATTTGATAAATAAAATATTAATTAGTATAATGATGAAGATAAGTAATATTTTTTATTAGATTTAAACTTTTTTTTATTCTTTACGCAAAATGTTAAGCGAAAGCAATGAGATCGAGGCAGCAACACATAAAGTGTGCATTTGATTCAATTAATTTTTTAGAAAAAAAAAAGTCTTATGCTACTTTAGAGAGATTTATTGGATTTTTTTTTTTCTAAAACACTTCTTTTTATTACTAAAGTTTACATGAGAATAGTAAAGAAATAGTGAATGTGCATAAAAATTCAATTTTCAACTCCTTACATCTCATTTAATTGCCTTAACACGAGCCACGTGTTATTTCTTAGAACATTTTTTTTATTAAGAGTATTCAATCACACAGTTTAAAAACTTTGATAAAATCAACTTATTTAAATCTGAGGTTAAATTAATATGATTTATTGATGTAAATAACATTAATTTAAAAATATAAAACTAAAATTAAGATATATTTAAAAAATAATTATATCAATATAAATGTAATATATGATATACAAAATATTATTAACAAAGTTTTAAAAATCATCATTTATGTTATATATATGTTACTTATTTCTTGCTTTAAATTCACACACATTAATTTTTTAATATGAACAATTAGTTATTTAAGTAGTTTCTCTCTCTTTCACATTAACAATTATCTTAAAACTTATTATACAATGAGTATTTGTTTATAAGTAAAAAGTTTTTTTTTTATCACTCCTCACCAGCCACTTAAGTGAGTTAATGATAACAACTTAAGCAGTGTGTAAATTACATAATTTTAAACGTTTGTCTATTGCAGAGAGATAAACGAATCAAAATATTGTTTTAAATATCAGTGGTGTGAGTACTTACCGGGTGATCAAATTCAAAGTAGAAAAATAAATCTGATCTAACATCAAGTCTGGTGGTCTTTCAAATACATCCCTTAACCTTGCTTGATTTGAGTATATCATGTTGAATTTGACATTATTTCTCAAATAAAATTGTTTATTAATGTCTCAAAACCTGGTTTGATATTAATTACAAAAATAAAATAAATTCGATTTGATAGTATGAATTCGAGTCAAAACTTTTCAAACCACGCTTAATATAATTTACATTAACAAACTAATAATGTTCGTCATTTTCAAGTGAGTGTTTGGTTTGCATCGCACTGGCCTCACTGTCAAGGGATGCTTTTGTTAGTTGTTGTGGCTCCTCTTAGTTTTACTCGAACCATGGTTTATGGGACCAGCTTCATCGTTGAGAAATTCTGTAGTTTACATCACTTCCTAGTTCTCGTTGCCCCACTTGGTTCAGGTGCATGCAACCATGATATTCAACAATTGCCTCACTGTATTGGGAAAGCTGATTGAAAATGCAATTATTGGTTCCTCATCCCACGTTGAAAGAATATGGAAGGCGATTGAAATTATAATTTTTATTACATAATTTTCATAAAAGAAAAGAAGAGCCTATCTCAGCACATCTTTTAACTATTCTTGTTTTACTATTTTTGAAAACATATTTTTATAATTTGCTCTTTGTTGGAACGTGAGTTCGTAATACTATGGTGAAAATATGTTTAAGAAAAATATTTTTTAAAAATAAAAATATTTTTTAGAGTAATCGTTACTAAA